GCCATCGGCGACTGATTGCCGTTTCATCGGCGACGTGCCGCCGATTCCAGGTTGTTGGCCTCTCGAGATGGCGCTGGAGGAGGGAGGAGGAGGAGGAGGAGGAGGAGGAGGAGGAGGAGGGCTGTAGCCATTTGTGTTCAAGTCCGTAGTGGTTCGGCTCAGGACCTGACCTTTTGACGTTCGGGGGACGAGACGGCCCCCGAGAGCATCCCCCCTCTGCCAGTTCGGACGAGGTTTCTTCCTGTGAGCTCGTGATGGAGCAGGGGCGCAGGGCAGATGGCCGTACCATTTTCAAGGGGCCAGGTACCCCGTTCTGGGGGTGCGGGCAATGTGGCAAATCGGCGAACTAGGCCTCGCGCGTTCCATGCGCGCGCGGGGCATATGCGCCCAGGACGATTGCTGACAAGGCAGAGGACACGGACACAGTTGCTTCGGCGGGGGGGAGGTCCCAGCGGTGCAAAGGGGACCCCCCACAGCATGGGCAGCCAAGTTCGAGGTTCAATCCAAGCTGATTGCGCTTCCCACATCCAAGTTCGACAAAATGCCCAAAAAGAGGCGTGGGGGGTTCGCGCGGGTGCGCAAGGGTCACACCAAGGTCCAAACAGTGTTGATTTGCCCGAAGGGTGGCGAAGCAGAGACATGTCGAAAACGGATCGATATGTTTACCAAGGCGAGTCGGGATTTGGATGCGGAACGTGATAAGGCAAGCATCGAGGGTTCCCAGGTTAAGGTCAAAGAGGCCGCCAGGTGTTGCAGGAACTCAAGCCACAGTTCACACAGCACACGAACGCGGGGCACCCCTTGGCGGATTTGGAGCGCAAGCGTGCTGCAGCCATCCAGAGGGAGAAGGAGCAGGAGGACGCCATCGCAACCGCCCAAGTGGCGACCGAGAGGCAGGCGCAGCCCGACGCCTAGAAGCGACACCATGACAAGGTCAAAGAGAAGGGGGTGGCTCGGACCAGGGCACATCCTACTGCTAATGGAACTGGGAGCCCAGGCGCAGGAAATGGTGGACCAACCGCAGCTGACGAACCCGAAGACGCAGATGTTGACGCCTTTCGGGGAGCAGTTAAAGATGAGAAGCGGAACATGCTGGCACGATTCCGTGTCTTGAGCTCCATCAGGCGACCACGGCGAGGGTAGCGAGTCTTATGACGACGGCTTCGAGGGCAAGCGCAGGCTACGCGGCCAGGTGGGTCCTAGCCTGGGAGTCGACTTCGAAGCGGAGGGCCCGGCAGGCCCAAATGACATCTTCCACAGCTTTGTCGACAGCCAGGGGGGCCACGGCAAGGATATTTTGTCTGACGTGGCAGTGGGAATGGACGGAAGTGAAGTTTGGCGAGCGGTTGCAGGTGTTGCGGGGGGCACCGCGCGGTCTTGGCTACTAGTGAGCGCACCAGGTTGTTTTCGGAGCATGTCCTCTTCCTCTTCTCCGATGCCACACTCACCTTCCCGCGAAGAGAAGGCAGAAGGCACGCTTGGTGATAGAGTCCAGGCGAGTTCGGTAACCACCCGGACAGCGGGCGCGCCCTGCGGGAGTTCAGCCTCGAAGCCACGGTCGGAAGCAGGCTTTAAAGGGGGCGTGGATGAGTGCGGGTTCTACTTTGCCAATCCCATTAGCTACGGCGGCAATGATGGACTGGTCTCTCACGCACTCTGAAGCGCAACAGGCAGATGCACCCGCGCCCCCGCCTCGTCGCCTTCGCGGAGCGCCGCCCGATGGGGCCCAAGCTCACGGAGAAGGCGAAGAGATTGCGCAAACTAGGCGGGGCGGAGACCTGGCCCGCGCCCAGGCGACAATCGACGGAGGGCGCCAGAGACACGGGGCCGCGGCAGTTACCAGCAGGTCCGATTTCCACGCCAAGGCGCCAAGGACCGAGGAGAAGTTGTTGAACTCAGACGCCCCCAGCGCTGCCGAGCCAGTGGGCGGTGCAATGGGTGCGTTCCCGGGGCGTAGACATTGCGTGCGCGTCGGCTTCTTTTGCGGTGGGAGTGAGGCTCGCGGAACCCAGCCTCGCCCTCGCGTCGGAGATTGGGAACTATTTGAGGCTCATGGGGCCGCCTGCCGTCACCATGCCGATTGGAATTTCACGCTGGATGAGTTGGGGCGCTCGTGTTTTGACGGATATGTTGACGGGTGGGCTGCGGCAGGTGACCGCCCGAATTGGGAATTTTTCATCGACTGCTCGCCTGCGCAAGACTCCATCCGGACGGCGGCGAGGCCCCCCTGGGACGATCGCTCTCCTTGGGCGGCGCCCTGCGCGGACACCCGCGGCGCGCCGGAAAAAATTGGCCCCGCGTTGAAGCCGCGGGGCGCCGGAACGCCGCCACGCATCACCCCCGAGAAAAGTGACCCTGATCACGCGTTAAGCCTCCTTCGGCAGGAGGCGCGGGCCAGCCTGACCGAGCGCATTGGCCGGCCCACTTGCGCGAGCTCATGGGCGCGGAGCGGGAAGTGATCGATCGAAAGGCGCGCGGGCGTCGCGCCGGCGGCGGAGCATCTGCTGCTGGGGCGACAGGCCGACGACGGGGCCCACAACTCCTCGGCGGCCAAGAGAGGCTTCCTGATCGAGGCGCAGGAGGTCCAGGTCTTCCCCCCGATACCCTAGGGCTGGATGGCTCGCGCCACGGGCGCAGCCGAGAAGGGGGCCCCCGCGGGCCGCTTGCTTGAGTCCGCCGGCACGGTTTCCGAGGGGGGGGGGGGGGGCGCCCATGTCCGATGGCGAGGGCGGGGCAGCCAGCAGAGACATGCGAGTGGGTTCCGTGAGCTGCCTATAGTGCCACGCCTGAAGGAATTGGCAAGTTTTCCCTGGGAAGCGTCGAGGGGGCCCCTTCCCGGGGCCCGCGGGCCTCCGGCGGCCCAGACCCGGGCCAGGCGGCGCCCGGGGATCGCCGTGCGCATTGCAATTTTCCACGGCAGGTAGGCTTCGAAATGCTTTCAAGAGGGAGCCCTTGAGAGTTTGAAGAGAGGCGGGGGGGCCCCGCGCCAGCTGGCCAATGCGCGGGGGGCACCCGAGCCCTCACTGGACCCAGGGCGAGGTCCTGAGGGAGAGCTGATCCTGGACCCTCTGCGTTCGATCGCGGCCACGGCGTCGGCGCGGGAGGCGCCGCGGCGCCGGCGGGTCGGCGCTCGGGGGCCCCCTTCAGGGCCAAGCCTGGCGGTGGCAAGTTACAGGGGGGCTCGAGAGGAACCCCAGCCGCTCGCCGCGGCGGACTTGGAATCAGCGCCGTCGGGCTTTTGGTTTGTGATCGGCATGGGCATGGACGGCCAGAACCCCGACTTTTGGGGCCAGTTGCCGGTCGCGGTCGCCAACCATTTGTAGAGGTAAAGCAGCAGGTGGAGCAGACATTGGCCTGGCCCATATAGGTTCGCGACACTCTTGCGCAGCTCGCGAGCGATCCCCGATCGCGGATCGCCCGATAAGCTTCGCGACAGGTCTCTATCGACGCTGGTCAGCGGTGCGTCGGGGGGCGGCGGCGAGGCGGGCGAATGGGGGGAGGGCTGGCCTCGTTTCTGGAACGAGGCCATCAGAGGGGGCTCAGCTTCAAGAGCGGCGGTCTTGCGACAGCTGCAGCTAGGGGCTGCAACCATCTATGGGGTGGGTCCCGGGCAGAGATCCTTCGGGGCCTCGAGAAGTTGCACGATCACTTGCAGTGTTTCGAAATCTTCAGGCTTGGCCAGGCCACGAGGCGCACAACGTCTCATCTGCGCATGGCGATGACCCTGCATTTTGCCCCGAGGAGAGTTGGAACTGAGGATTGCCTGGGTGAGGTGATAGCCCCCTGGATGGGGATATTGGCAGGGTCCCGCCAGTCGGTCGACGCAGCAAAAGTGGCCCTGTTTGAGATTTTACAGGATCTGCACGACTCCTTCGGAACCCATCAAGCTGTATTTTTGGGCGGGCGATTGTTTGCAGTTGGTTGCGGGGCACCCGGGGGAGGTGGCCCCGAAGTCTGCGCAAGTAAGTAGGTGGATGCGTTGCTCGAGAAGGAGTCTAACAACTCCCGGCAAGAACAAGTTAGCGAGTTGTCCCGCGCTCTTGGCGTCGGAAATCCAGAATGTCCCCCGTTCTCGTGGGTCTGCATGCGCCGGCCCCCCAAGTTGCCGAGGACATGGGGATCGACGCCGCCGCCGCCTGGCGCAGCGCGGCGACTCAGAAGCGCCTTTCAGGAGCCGCAGGTCGCGCCACGACGATCGCGCAGGTCGCCGAGGTGACCCCGAGGGCCCGAACCCTGGAGAGAGACGGCTTTCTGCTCCAAGCCACGCGGGGGTAAAATTCAGAAGTCTGGCCCCCGCAACCGCGTTTTGCTTGCGCGCGCAGGTCGCGGCTCTGTCGGTGGCTGGCCGCGAGCGCGGGTGCTCCGCCGCGGCCATCGCTCGCGACGGGGTCTGATTGGGGCCCGCTCTTTTCTGGCAGGTTGAAGGCGTTTCGCCCGCGGCGCGAGGTCCTGCTGCCCTCCGCGCAGTCTGAGCGTGCAGCGGCGATCGCATAGAACAAGGTCTGGCGCCTGCCAGGAACTAGGCATCGATGGAACCATGTCAATGGCCCGTTCACGGCTGTGATAGTTAGCTTGTATTCACGACATCTGTTCGGATGCCCCACAGCCGTGGGTTTGGGCGGGCCAGTCTGCCCGGCTGCGTTTCGACCTGAGAGATTGCGACCTTGAACGGTTGCTCATGTGTGAGTTCAGAGGGGCCTTGGACCTGGATCTGAAGCAAGGCCTCTCAGCACCACCTCGGTCGGGGACTGAAGTTCATTGCCGATTGCATCGCGCCGCGCCGCCATTTGAAGAGGCTTGAGCCACAGTGGAAGCATGACCAGGCTGCGACGTTGAAGACTGTTCTCACAGGCGCACTATTGCCTGCGGCGAGGAGGCTTGGAGAGGAATCCCGACGCCCGTCTCCCACGTCGACTCGCCACCTCTGCGGCCCCGCCCTCTCCTCCAGCCCCTGCGCCCGAAGGGTTCGACCAGCGCCCCTCGGGGCGCGCCTCTTGCAGGAATGGATGGCGAGGAGCCTGACCTCGCGGAGCTGATGAACCTCCAGAGCCGCGAAGACCAGGAGGACAGGCAGGCGCGCCCGCATTGGTTCGAGGAAGGAGGGGAGGCGGGCGAGGTTCATCGCACCCCCCCCGGGCGCCCCAGGCGCGGAGCCCCCTCGGGGACCTCGCTTCACCATTTTTGCGCGTGCCCGCGCAATCGGGATACCCCAGGGGCCCGCCCTGAGTTGCTCGAGGGACCCTCGTAGATGCAGTCAGTGGCACAGTTTACTCAATCAGCCTCAACCAAGGGCTAATACATTCTGGAAGGGGGGGGGGGCGCTGCGGGGTGGCGGGGCGGGCCGGGATGTTAGTGGGGATTCGTTTTTTATTCGGAGGGTGCTCAGCTCGGGCGGGGCCACGGCCGCTGCCAGGATTTAAGCGACCTGTTCTCCTAGCTGAATTAGAGGCCATCAGTCAAGCGCTCTAGTGCACCCTCGGCCCCATGACCTTCGCAGCCGATTCCGCTATGACTGCTTGTGTTTTCCAGCGCGGTCCCAAGTATGCGCCCCCAGCGAATGTTGCGGCGTGGCGCAGATTATGGTGGCATGTCGTTGGTGATGCTTGTAGATTTGATGAGCTGGCCATCAAGGTCCAGGAACACCCCTTGGCGGTGGCGCTGCACATAGCGTCGCGGGCCCCAGAATTGTCCGGGCCCTCGCACAAAGCTGCCAGAGCGGCTGAGGTTGAGCACGGGGCAAGAACAGGTGTTCAAGGTTGACGGGGCCAAAGCTGCGTCGGCCCATCGTGTTGTTTCTGACTGGAAGGGTGTGAAGTGCCTGTTGTGTCTCTTTCGACCGTCGGCCGAACTGAAGTTGCAAGCAGCCCAGGTCCCCCAGGGCATCGACCCCTCGCACAAACTGCCGTTTTGTAAGGGTGTGTGTTCTGGTGTTAAAATTGTGTGGCCACGTTCACGGCGGGGAATTCGTCAAGCTGGGCGAAGCTTGTCGCCCAGACAACATTGACACCTGGGGCAGGATGGTGGTTTTCGCCCCTGCCGGAGAACGTCCCCCCCCCAGGATATAGAGCCTGGCTTGAGCCAGAGGCCTAGATTTCGTTTCGGCGTGTTCGTTTGAGGGAGTTCCGCTGGAGCTGTGGAGGAGGAGGAAGAGGAACAGGAGGAGGAGGAGGAGGAAGAGCAGCAGCAGCAACAGGAGGAGGAGCAGAAGGGGGAAGGAGGAGGAGGAGGAGGAGGAGGAGGGGGATCGAGGATGGAGGATGGAGTATGGAGGACGAGGGAGGAATGCTTCCCCCGTGAGCCACTCCCCCCCCTGAACGTTGCCTCTTGAGGCCCAGGAGGAGGAGGAGGAGGAGGAGGAGGAGGAGGAGGAGGAGGAAGAACATCCAGGGTCGAGAAGGAACGAGCCTCGAGGAGGAAGAGGACGAGGACGATGGAGGAGGAGGGGGAGGAGGAGGAGGAGGAGGAGGAGGAGGAGGAGGAGGGGGAGGAGGAGGAGGAACGGGGAACACCCCGCGGCGCCGCGCCCTGCCAGAGGTGGTGTCGGGACCGCGTCCAGGCCGCATTCCACCCCTTCAAGACGCTGGAGGGCTGGAAGGCCGCTGGGGGGCCCGTTGCCTCGGGCACTGGGCGTCTCCCGCGGGTGCCGTCTGGGTCCATATCATGATCGCGTTGTTTTCTCGTCATTCTCGCGTCTTGCTTATCCTCCTGTGTCCGTTCCTGATCCTGCCCAGGAGCAGGGGGCGAGGAGGACGAGGAGGAGGGGAAGAGATCCTGTTCCCCTCCCTGATCCTTCTCCAGGAGGAGGGGAACCAGGAGGAGGGCGAGGAGGACGACCAGGAGGGAAAGAGATCCTCTTCCCCTTGCTGATCCGGCTCCAGGAGAAGGACGCGGAGGAGGAAAAGGAGGAGCAGGAGGAGGAGGAAGAGGAGGAAGAGGAGGAGGAGCAGCAGGAGGAGGACGAGGAGTACAGGTTGACGTCCGCACGCCGTGCCCCATTAGAGAGGTGCAGTCACTGGCGAACCCCGCAGCGCAACCAATGGCGCAATATGTGGCCTGCCCTGCGGGCGCAACCTATGGCGCACGTATGGGGGGCAGCTTTTGTCGCCACCCATGGCACAGGCGCAACGCATGGACGCAATTCACGGCGAAACGCGCGGCGCAACCTAGCGCAACATACGGGCACCAGCTATGACGCAACTTGGATGCCCGCCGTCACCGTCTTCGAGCGCACCCCCATCGCGGGTATCCTTTCCTTACTCGTCATGCGTAGTTGGCGCAACCCTCAACATAAGAAGAAGAAGCGGAAATGACAAACGGGGAGAGCGAAGAGGAAAGGAAATGGAGAATGGAGGGAGGAGGACGGGGGCTAGGGGGGGCGACGATGAATTACGACGAGGGCAATTCGCATAATGGGGGTCAGGGAGCAGCAGGAAACATAAACGACAACAACAACAACAATCATGCTACCCTCATGCGCGATGCTTCCACACGAAGCATGCGACCATCATGATAACCATACCCACCATGGGGGATGATTGTTCGTTAGCGGGATTTGTTATTCCCATTCCCACATCTCCCGCCCAATGAGGTCTTGCAAACACCTCCGAGGAAATCCAACATATCCCGCCACGAAAACGCATGCCCGCGCCTTGCTGCGCCGATCCGAGACCGCCAGTGAAGCCCCAGCCAAGGGTAAAGCACAAGGGAGTATCGAGCGATAGGATTGCTTTGGTGGGGATGGGGGCTGTCGGCGGCGAGGCAAGGACCTGGCCCTGAATAGAAAGGGAGGAAGTCTCGAGCAGGGCCGCTGTTGTTGCTGGGAGCAGCGCCAATTCTGAAGAGAGTAGGGCGCTAGTCCAGCGTAAAATGAAACGAAGCCTCGAGTGGGAACACTGGTTTTGTTGGGACGGCGTATGTCGGCGGTGAGGAGGAACACCGCCTTGAGTAAGAAGGGAGGAAGTCTCGAGCGGGAGCCGTGGTTTTGTCAGGACGGGGGCTGCCGGCGGCAAGGAACAGCACCGTCCTAAGGAAAAAGGAGGGAAGCCTCGAATGGGAGCGTTGTTTTGTTGGGAGCGGCGCCAATGCAAAAAATGTTAGGGCGCCAGTCCAGCGTAAAACGGGAGGAAGTCTTGGACGGGAGCGCTGGTGTTGTCGGGACGGCGGTTTTCGGCGGCGAGGAAAAATACCGCCTTGAGTAAAAAAGGTGGGAGGCCTCGAGCGGGAGCGTTGTTGTTTGTTGCTGGGGGCGGCGCCGATGAAGGAATGAGTAGGGCGCCAGTCCAGCGTAAAACGGGAGGAATTCCCGAGCGGTAGCGCTGGTTTTGTCGGGACAGCGGTAGCAGAGGAGAGGGGAGAGATTGAGGAGAAGGGGCAGAGCAGAGGGAGGAGGGAAAGTTTGAAGGAGTGGCCAGGAAGGGAGAGCGATGAGAGAGAGGGGAGAGGGGGGAGGGGAGAGAGTGAGGCTGGGAGTGAGGAGACGGGGCAAGACCCGGCCCAGCTCTGCCTATCCCGGCCCAGCCCGACCCGGCCTTGAAGAGCGGGAGGGTGTGAGGTAGGAGGGAGGAGGGAGGGGAGGAGGGGAGGGGAGGAACAGGAACAGGAACAGGCTATGCCACACAGTGGTTCAGGAGAGGAGGGGGAGGGGGAGGGGGGAGGGGGAGGAGCGAGGAGGGAGAGGGGGGAGGAGCGGCGGCGGCGATGTGTGACGCAGGGGCGAAGGAAGCAGGAGGATGAGGAGGAGGAAGAGGGGAGGAGGAGCAGTGGGACCGAGGTACAAGATCGAGGTTGGTTCGGGAATGTTTGCGTGCTTGGTAGATCCTCTTGTGCATCCTGGGGGAGGGCACCCTCGAATGTTCTTCGGTTTGGGCCGGCGGAGGGTCTCGTGTTCTTGAGAGATGTTCTTCTGGCCTAGGTCCGACTGTTGAGGGAAGGATGAGCATGTGGTCCCGGAGATCCGACGGCGCGGACAGATTGCAGCGTCGCGCAAAGTCAGCATTGGAGCCTTAGACCCAATATTGCTGCGGCTTCTTTCGAGCCGCATCGGTCTGCTACAATCCCGGGGGCCGAAATTGGGCGGAATGGCCCAGCGTGGAAAGCTTGCAACGCTCGGATATCGCCAGGAACCCCGGGTAAGGGGAGTCGGTTAGTGGTTGGGCCCCGAAGCCCGAACAAAAATGGCCAGAATCATTAAACCAGGTCTGCCGTAGCTTATTCGGGGTTGACCCAAAAGGGGGTCCAGCGACAAGGGGGTGGTGCAATAGATTTGGTCAATAGGTTTGTGGGGTTGCAGTACATTTGGAGTGTGCAATACATTCCAGGGCGCGAATGTATTGCTGGATCTTCGCGTGCAGTACATTACTTGCAATACAATGCAATACAATTCTGCGGCGCAGTACATTTGCAATACAATTGCCCCAAATCTATTGCACCACCCCCTTTCAGCTGGACCTCCTTTTTTGGGTCACCCAAACTGATGCTTCATCGGGGGGCGGCAGATCCAATGAGTGGACTGGGGCGGGGAGGCGTCCCCCAGTGCACCTAGCCCGGCCAACCTCCGAGACGCCCAGATCTCAGGTCCGGTCCGACCAGGCTCCTCTGGGAGCTCTCCCCTCGGGCGGGTGGTAACGGGGGGGGAGACCCAAATGGGGGCGAAGACAAGGGCCATGAAGGAGCCCTTTAGGGCCCTTGTTGGAGCCAGCAGGGGCCCAAAAGGAGCCCTCCAGGGCCCCTTCAGGGCCCTTTTCTTCACCTCCCATGTAGGTCACCCCCCAGTACCACCAGCCCGATCCCCAGACGTGCGACGTTCGGATTTCCTCAGCTCCAGGTCCCTGGAAGTCCCGACCCCCTGGGCGGGACCGCCTTCGTTCATCCCGAGGCCCGTCCTGACTTTTTCACTCGACGAAGCGAGCATGTTTAGGTCCTCTGCGCCGTGCGCCCTCCTCCTCGTGCTTCTCCTCCTCCTCCTCCTCCTCCTCCTCCTCCTCCTTCTGCTCCTCCTCCTCCTGTCCTTCCTCCTCCTCCCT